GAAATATTCGAAATGAATCATCCGTCGTAGAGTGTAAATAAACAGAGATCCTGGTCTTCAGACGCTGCGAATAGATCTATGTCGTGGCAAATATAGTTATGATGACAAATGATTAGACGAATAGGCGGTTGATGAGCCCGATTTATAATAGTTCTCTCTGTATTCGTACTATATGTTAAGATTAAGAATTATTCTGCAATATTCTACGCCCTTTTTCAAGCGGATGAATCATAGAAAATTAACGAAAACTTATTTCGGGCATGTCCACGCCTAGCTGATCTGTTTATGTATCTGACAATAAATAATATTCTATACAATAACTCTACCGTGGTTTGTGTCTGAACTACCTGAATAAGTGTCTCAAACGTCGTGGTCCAGTATAGGTAATATTCTACAATAAGCTGCCGTGGTTTTGTCTGAACTACCGGCTGACAAAGATATCTCAAACGTGGTGGTCCAGTACCTTGTAGGTAGTATTAGTACAATCTAAACTACCTGAAAAAATATCTCGAACGTGGTGATCCAGTGTATAGGTAGTATTCTACAATAAGCTGTCTTTGTTTGTGTCTGAACTACCTGAAAAGATTAAAAATACTTTAATTACGAGCGAAGACCCTTACTTGGGCTACTAACATCTTGACAAAAGACCAATTCGAAACGTTCAAACATTTTTATGTTTTGCCGACAGTTTACACCAACCAAGGCAGCTTATTTTTTTGTTTGGCTGTTGGAACGGTAATATCCATGGTTTCCATCGCCACGGACGCTCAATCGCTCATTAGATCTTTCATGTTCCAAATTAATTAGTCATTAATGTGGGCGCTGTCTGTAGTTTGTGTATAATAACGTTTCAAATTTTGTTTTAGATTTGTCCGAGCGATATCCCGTCACTATGATTTCATCAAGTCATTTGAACAAAATTTTTCTCACTCTCGCCATTGCGCTGACTTTCTCAGCTATAGGTAACAATTTTGAATCTTTAATGAATGATTCCAGCTATATACTAAATTTTGATCTAGGCAAGAAGAACAAAATCCATCACCACAGCTAGAAAGGATAGCTCTGTCAGTTTTTAAACTGTTCTCCCTAGATAGAGGTCCAGTGAGGATAATCTCTTATTGATTCGGTATTACCACAGGAGGAAACCTAAATTAACTTGATTTATACTACAGGATAGCTGTCAGTTCTAAACTGTTCTCCCTAGAGGTCCAGTGAGGATAATCTCTTATTGATCCAGTGTTATCACAGAAAGGAATCTATATAAACTAACTTTATTTATACAATTATACTGGATAGCCTTATCAGTTCTAAACAGTTCTGGCTATATAGGTCCAGTTAAGCCCACCCCTAACTACTCCATAGTGTCACTACAGTACATGAGACAAACGGCGCACCCGGAGAAAACCAGTGGTGGTTGATAGAGTCAAACTCACATGCATGGAACTGATAATCAGACAACTGTATATTTCAGGAATCGAACTCCTGCGGCATCAAGCCGTGACCACACAGACACTAACTACCGTGCCATCATAAACGTACGAGTGATTTCATTTTTCATTATCTTCTAGGGAGCGCATTGATATGCAACGTATGTTCTTACACATCAGCACAACCTAAGGCACAGCAAGTGTGCGGGAATAATACAGTCAACTGCGCGACAGGCTACTGTTTTTCGTCAACTTACACCACGGATACCGACCTAGTGGTGACTGTTCGTAGCTGTGACGACCCTAGCGACAGATCTTGCCCAGATGCTGATGATACATGCGAGAAACGAACCAGCAAGTTTAACTTGAAATCATGTGCTGGAATGTGCTGTACCACCGATAACTGCAACAATTATACCCCCAGTAGTGCCACTAGTATCATGGTCGCAAAATTCAGCCTGTGTGTGATGGTCATAGTCGGTTTCTTTCTAGCTTAACTGAGTTGATTGGACGGCTGTTGCTATACTTATAACTTTAATAGTTGTGCACTGTTACATATCGTTATAATATACTTTGTGTTTTATTTGCACAGTGGTAAGGTTAGTAAAGTTCTAATAAGGATTACTCTGTTATTAGTTTGGAAAAATAGAAAAAGATGAAAAAGAGGCACAAACCCAATAGTGTAACTTAATATACTGAAATGGTTCACTGTTGCTAACTTGGAATGTGTGTTACACTGTTACACCGGTAATTTCATGGTAACGACTTATATATAGTTGTGGCACAGTTATAAAGTGATAAGCACTGTGATAAGTTCTAATAAGAATTACTCGGTTAGTAGTTGAAACATAGAGAAAGAGGCACAAAACCTAATACGTACCTTAGTCGAACTTAATGCTTCATTTGTTAACTTTTGCTATTCATGTCATTGTTGTTATATTTAATTAACTGATTTATTTACTGTTGTTACATACAGACCAGCTGACAATGTAATTTCATATTTTTTGCACAAGAATAAATTTCATCATCAAAGATGTTTTTATCGTGTGTTTTCTTTTCTTTACAACAACAGATAAAAGATACATACAGAGAATAATTGGAACTATTAAATTAAACTGCCTTTACATAATAACTTGGTAGCATAGCAAAAGTGCCATCGATATCCAATAGGCCCTTTGCAGCTGGCCTAAAAACACTTCGCATGGCACAAACGTAACTTTTTCAAGATTTTCAAAAAAAAGGTTAAAAAGTTAGATTTTCAAAAAAGTTTAAAAAGTTAAAAAAGGTAGGGTTGGGGTTAATGTTAGGAGTCAGATGCCGCGAATTTATCATTATGATAAATTCAAAATGTGCCGCGAATTTATCATAATGATAAATTCGGACGTGTTTAAGAATTTACTCGTGTAGTAAATTCAGAGGTGGTAAATTCCACAGCTCTTCATGCTCTCCAGTCACTTGTGGTTTTCACTGTATTTTTAGCGAATGCAAAGCAATCTCGTAACCGGCCAGGGCTCGTAAGTTTGTGGCTTTCAAAGCGCAGAAGCCCTGGGAACGAAGTTGACTGCAAAAAGTCAAAGAACCTATTATGATCCATTGATCCAGTGATCGGAATGTCCTGTTTTACCAAAAATCCAACTGTACTCCATGCCATGTTGTCATTCATTGTTTTATTTGTCAGGGTCTCTTTACTGCATCTCATTCTTGACTACGTTAATGACACGAGGTCAGATGAATTCTCCGGTTCAACCTCGGATCGTTTTCTATAGTTCTGTGGTATGATCTGCAGGTTTTCATGGGCGGCGCTAACCCGATTTTGATGTCGGGGGGGAGAGTGAAATTTTGCCGAGTCATTTCCCTTACCAGAACTATTTCCCAAAATTATGTTTTGCCAACAGTGGGAAAACAGTTTGCCGACTGGAATAAAATAATTTGCCGACTAGCTATAACGACTGGGAGTGTAACACCCACCCACACACACCCTCTAGCGCTGCCCCTGCAGGCTTTGTAATTGTTGATCATGACAATGAAAGATATTGAACTATAAAAATATATTTCACAAGAATCAAACTCAATAAACACTGCGCACTTTTGTTTCAGAAAACCAATAACATACAACCTTGTTCCCCTAACGCTTCTGTCGCGAAACAACGATATTTTGCAAATAACGAAGTATTACCACCATTTTTCGATGGAGAATGTTTGTGTTACATCGTTTGGTCAATTCTCATTGATTAAAACCAATATGTGCACGGTCAAACTGACTGTTCAACCTCCATGTTTGTTTATGGCGTAATTTCTTTGAAGTTTGCCGGGTTTCCTAACCAGGTCTTATAACAACCATGGTGAGAGTCATTCTGTGAGTGGCGCATGAACGAAGCTTATGTACTTATACAGTAGAGCGTTTGCACATGACGTCACAGCCGCCGTGTTGGTGTTCCATTTCAAAAGAGTTTTAATTAGACTCTTTTGTCTGGAACACCAACATGGCCGCCATGGCTTTTGTTGGTGTGGTCCCTGGGGAATGAGCGCAAACGCTCTGTTTGTCTTTCCTACCTCCACATTAATCCGTTTTCGTATTGTTCTCCGTTCACAAGGGATTAGAGAACAATGGTCTAATTGTACCTGAAAACGCTACGAAAACGGATGAGCAACTCGGGAAAGAAAGGAAAAGTGGGATGCTACTGTTTGAAAATCCCACTAGCATGATGCTAATGGGATTTTCAAACAATGAAAAGATAATTGAACATTCTGGTCACTGGATCGTGCACTATTGTTATGCTAAATTGATGCATTGTTTCATGTTTTCGGGTTAGTCTGTAAAGTGCCTGCTATATTTGCATATGTACCTTTATACTATACAGTATGTGAAAATCACGATGCTTGCTTGAAAACGTACAACAAAGAGTGTAAAATTATGGCCAAAATCTCGCTTTTTAAGGCAAGAAATACGTTCGTTTTTATGTCGTCAGTTTGGTATGATAGTTCCTGCTGGATGTAGTCAGATAGTTGTCGTTTCTGTCAATGTCTGGCCAGAGGAGCGAGGTTTGGTATGGTTCGTTAATGAATAATGGTGCCGAAGATATGCCATTCTATAACGACTACAAGCACTGGTTTTGGTAAGTATATAATAATGTTTGCCCTTGGTTAAAAGGTTAAAAGTGCATGTGCAGTGTATGGTAAAAGTGCAGTGTATGGTTAAAAGTGCATTACAAGAGAGTCAGTTGACAGTCCTCTTTTCAATACACAACGTCAACAATTTTCAAGATTTGAGTGTTTCTTAGTGCCGAGCGATTTTTCAATAAGCATGCACCATGTACTGTATGCAGCAATTAATGTAGTTAATTCTTTAGATAATTTGTATCAGTCTTGTAGTGGAAGTAAGTATCTTTTGCTATATGTTCTGATTACTTCTCAAACAGCGACGCATCGTTGTCTTGATATACCACAGTAATAAACCTCTATAAATTGACTCAACTTTTGCATTGCAAATATTTGAATTTCTCTTTGAATATTGGTTTGTTTTGTAAGAAGCGTTAACACACATTCGAAGTCGTTTTTTATACTGTAGTGTTTAAATATCACCTAAAAAAAACCTTGGTAAAAAATTAACCTCGTTTTTAACACATTTTATCATGATTTTCAGACTACCAGAATAAAATCCATATGACTTTCCGGAGAATGATAAATCTACTCAATACAAATATTTTTCTTCGTTGTGAAGGAATGAAAATACTTAATATAGAGTGGGGCAAGACTGGTGGAGCATTTGCCCCACTGGGCCTCTTCCTCTGCCCCACCACTGAAGAAAAAAATGGCCTATTGCCCCAAAGCCAGGGCCCTAGGACCTGTATTGAGTAAATGAGTTTAACATTGAAAAGAAGTGTATGTTGCATGTGTTTGAATGTTTACCATGCAATTTTTTACAAATTTCGTCATTAAAACTTCCTTCTGAGAAGCTGAGATTTTTTTAAATGTGTTTTCAGAATGCAGGAAATGCAATTTTAAAATTTCCTGGGGGGCATGCTCCCAGCTGACCCTTAGCTAACACGTGCCTGCGGCACTCGGCTCACATCAGGCTCACACCTTCGGCGATTGAGGAAAATGGGCCCTTTGACAGTTTTGCCCCACCACTGAAGACTCCTTAAAAAATTCACTGGAGTGGGGACTCCTTGAAGAGGGAGCTTAATAAGGGGAAAGCGGTTGTTTGAGAAGGGGGTTTAACAATACGAATTTTAATTGTTATTGGTCCAGCGCTACAAAATATTTATGACTACATGCAATTACTGTCGATTCAATGGAACTATGGAAGTGTTGATAAAATATTGCACGAATTCATTTCCTCAAGTTGATCAATTCGTACGAATTCGAATTTCTTTTTACTTCCTGTGCGTTTCCTATTGGTCAATCGGTTCTGAAACGAAATCTAATTGGCTCATATTGGTTAAAAGAAACAAGAAGTTAATCAATTTTCTATCAAATGAATTGATCAACTTGAGGAAAGGAATTGTCCGAATTGATGCAATATTTTATCAACACTTCTATTGCATCGACAGTAAATCAACACAGAAAGTTTATGGCAAAACGTGTTTGACTATATTTTAATGCGATTAAATCATCATTACAGTTTTGTTAATCACGATTGATTTCTTCATTAAATGAGTTCAGCTTTATTAGCGATGTTTTCACTAGGTCGAACAGTATCGTGCATTGCAAGTAGGTACTCCGTTTAGATAATACACGTAGTACAAGCCGGCACAGTTGATAACTTTAATAGATCGGGAATAGTAGGTACAACTAGAAGGATTATAGAAATATACAGTGCGAGGTATTCCATCATTCACGCCTGGATGACTACCTGACATATATCCCGGGTTAGTCGTGCAAGAGTGGGTTGAATAGCAGCTTGTGCACATCCGAGTTCCTGCAGCTCCACCGAATCTGTACCATCCGGCGGATAAAACGTTGTCGCATAAGTGATGGGGTGAGTCATATTGGCCATACCTGCTGGAATCTGATAACCACTGATATTTAATACATACAGGATATTTTTTCCGACTAAAATTGAAAACGATTAGCATTACATGATTTTATAATTTAATACATGTTAGTACTGTGTTCAATAAAACATATACAAAGCCCAGACTGCCCAAGCAAATACGTCCACGACCCTAAACGATCGGATGGTGGGAAACTAAATTAATTATTTTGACTTAACACGCGCGCTTCCCATTTATTTTTTGTTTTTCGTTACTTTTTTCCCTTTTGAAATACGGGTTCGTTGAGGACAAATTTTAGAAAGAATATCGATGCTCAGAATGCAGGAAATGGCATTTCCAAGGTTCAAAATTCAAAATTTCCCGGGGGGGAAAGATTCAGGCTGATTCTGCCGCTGGAGTGCTCTTTCTTATTAGTGCCCACGAAGAGTCTCGAAGAAGGGGATCGGAGGGGGCCTAGGCCGCCTATGTAGGGTACCGTGACTACCGTCAATCATACTTAACTATGCGTCAATGTATACTACATAAGTTTCACGAATCGAAACAATAGGTTTGTGTGTTACAAAAACACCCAAGTTCAATCCCATCTATGCATGCTGACATATTATGTCTTATGATCAGTTTCTCCTCCATCCCCCCTTGCCATACTATAATACTTCATGTGAACTCGTTATATGCGCATCGCCGTTTTCTTACAAAGAAACGCATGTGCACGAGACAGGGTGTAGTATGCGATAGCAGACTGATCAGCACTGCCTCTGAGATTAGTCTGCTGTTTTTCCGCAGCTCCAGTGGGAGGGGGG